AAGGACAGGAAGGCCTGGCGCAATACGGTTCATGGGGTCACGAAGAGTCGGACATGACTTAATGACTGAACAACAACAACTGCTTAATGGGGTTGGGCAAAGCATTTAAAAACAGTGTTTTGGAAAGCCTTTGGAGGCGGTTTCCAGCTGTCTGTATGTCCTTACATCAGTAGGTCCCAGCAGAACTATTTTCACACAGAGAGAACCTCCAAAGCAGGCACAGAAGCCTTTAATCTGGCTAGTTTAACACATTATGGAGTTGTTTGCTCATGCTAAACCCCTTTGCACAGCTCCACTGCTCAGCAAGATTCTTAAAGTCAGCACTTTGCTAGATGCACTGATTACCTGTGTGTTTCCTGGCACAATTTAGTGTGGGAGGAAAGGAAAAAGCTACATATCAAGTGGGCGGCCATACAAATTTAAAAATATGTAACTTAATAAATACTAAGGAATACTGTATTTTGTTCTTACGGACCTGCTGAAAATCTACTATGGAGTTCTCCTCTGGATGTTTCTTTAAAATGAAGCTAGATGGGTGACTACAAAAGAGAAATGTGTTCTTAATAACAGTATCTGGCTTACTTTATGCCCTTCCCATAAATACATGTCTGGCATCCACACTGAAGTTTTTCAGCATAAACTAAGAATACTGTTTTAAATGGCATTTTTATAGTTGTTATAGTTTAAACCTCTAGCTGAAACAAATCCTGGAGATTTCTGTCTCCTTAATAACTCTGTGGATGTGTCATATTTATCTGTCTATATGTGGGGTTTGTGTATATATAGCACTAGAAGCCACATCCAAAGAAGAGCTCATAACTGATTAAAATTGCTGATTAAAATTAATTGCCTGTAAAATATCCCATTTGTAAAATTAAGTGAACTTCCACCTGCGTATACCAACCATTCTCTCAATGCACACATACTTTCCTCTCTCCTTTAATGAAACAGAGATGGGTTCAGGAGTGGGAGTAGCTGCAGTGGGAAGGGAGGAGATATACAACTGGATGAGATGAGGGGAAAGGTAGTTAAACCGAGCTTTTGTCTTTTCTTTCTATTCTTATTTAAGTGTTATAAAAATAGTCCTGTTCATTAGACAAGTAACTGGCTAATATTCAGGCTAATTTTCAAAGCCACCCTTGTTTTCAGCAAGGAAATGTACCATCATTTGTACCTCATGCTCATTCATGACCTTTTTCATAGGCTATTTATTAGGTCTGTGAAATTAGGAATGTGCAAATAGTGGCTGTCTGCACCCCTTTAATGCAGCTGCATCTTTTCTTGCAATTACACAGCTGTCCTCCATTGCTACATGTAATCCTGGGGAAAGATGAGCAGTTGCAGATGAGTGCTATGTTTGTGCTCTGAAGCACCCTTCTGGAATCAAATCCAAAGCAGCGTACAGCCTTAATATTTATGCATACTACAAATTCTAACCTCTTAATATAGCTACAATGAGTGGAATTGAGACTTGCTTTTTCATGAATGCAACAGATGATTATCACTAGTTCCTCCCATACTCCTCTGATGCTGGTGAGGAACACCACTTGCCTCAGGAACAGCTTTTCAAGTGGCAAAGGGAATAGGCAAAATCGGCAAAATCACTTTCCTTCTCTAAAGACCAGCAGAAATCCATTGAGCATAACTTTGGACTCAATTCAATATTTTATGTGCGATTTCTTCCATGTATGTCATACTTTCACTACAGTTATGGGACTGATTTTCATTTCTTCAAATCTGAAGTATTCAAAATATTCAAACTTTGAATTTAACATAAATAACCATGAATAAAATGGGCGTATAATCCACATTCTACAAACAGTACAACTAGAAATATGCCTTGTGCATTTTTATTTTATCCTTTGTGATTTATATCAGGGTTTTTCAAAATGTGTTCTGTGAGCCCCTAGGTTTCTGCAGGAACTTGATCAGGTTCTGTGAGAGACTAAGGGGGGAAAAAAAACCTGTTCACTCAAACGCAGGCAATTTTCTATCACCAGAGCTCTGCCTTTTGATCAGTGATTCTGGGATTTTTTTTTTTTAAACTAACATGTTCCATGCTTGGAAAAGTTTGAAAACTCCTACAGGGATCACTTAAACATTTGCTCCAAATATTATTACAATTTGCATCACCTCCTGTGAACAAGTATTTATTGTTCCAGAATCATTAAAAAAAATACTATTATTATATAATGGTGCAATTTGTGCTTTCCTATAGTGCATTCACACCCACCTTCTCCAAAAACAGTTTACTGCAGCAATAAAGTACTGCAACACTGTAGATGATGGTGATCTGAAATGACTTGTGGTGGTTTATCTATGTTACACTGACAGGGCAGCTACTTCGTAAGTGAAGTATGACTGAAGCTGTTTTGCTGGAACAATTTATAAGCTGAAAGCCACCTAATCGTACAGAAGACAATATGCATCATGATCCATATGAGGAACTATTGCTTAGGAGAGGGGATTGATAAAATCACTAATGAATATACTTTACATCTTTAATATTTTATCATCTTCAAAAAGTGTATCCAGACATAAGTGTAGAATATGCTAAATTTTGAATTACGGAGCAGTTCAGCTAATAAAATGTTATGTTCCAGAATATTAAATCAAATAAGCACAAACATTTATAAAATTTGAAGTAAACACTCTGTATTCTAACACAAATGTTCTGTACCAATTAAATACAGTATAGCAGAAATAGAATATAAATTACATTCTTTACAATAATTGCAAAATACTAGGAGTTAGCTTACTATACATATAAATCAAAGAGCAGTAGCAGCAGTTTGTCCATAAGGTCCCATTATCTCAATTACTTCCTAAAAAATGAAGACTACAGTAGGCCATTCATATTTCCTTTTTCTTGAACCATTTGCTACTTTACATATATCTAACATAATATCTATACATGGAATAGTTCCCTAAGAACTCCAAAGCATAATATAAGTTCATATAAAAATATATTTACAGGTTAAATCGCCTCAGAACATTTTGCCTAAGTCTTATCACAGCCAGCAACAAACAGTGCATTTTTTTGTAATTGTAATGCTGTACTGCTATTTTCTTTCTTGTGCCCATGTTTTTAAAAAGCAGTAATACTGTTCCTGCATCTAGATTGCCTGGTTGGCATGTACACAAAAAATGCCATTTATACAATCTAGAGGCATTTTAAATATTTCCAATAAATGTCAAGTTGACACAGTGGCAGGCCCATAGGAAGACAAAACAAAATCAAAGTGAAAACAGTATCTTCAGTGCTCATATTAAACAAAAGATATAAGGTAGCATGACGCCTGGTATTAATCTCTAGAAATATGACACCAAGCTGTCAGTTAAAACATATACATACAATTAAACCATGATATAAACAGCATGTGTATTAATCTAATACAAATTCTTTGGTAATTAACATATTGTAGGTTTCCCCTCAGATGCATATTTACATCCCATGGCCTTTCCACACAATAAAATATTCTGTATAAAATGTAACCCATTTTGTTCAGTAACATTCAGTAAAACTCACAGTTTTATCTACAGACAGTGCATCGTTATATATCCATTCTCAGAAATCCAATTGAGCGCAACAGGGTACACATCCAGGTTATGATAGGATTGTACTCTAGTGTGCAGCCATGTTTGCCTTTAGGATAGGCAAATTATACACTGTCACCATAGTTTATTTTTAAAAAGAACCACAGAATTATATCTGTGATTCAAACATTCAATTACATATTAAAACTACAATTATTTTGAAAAAGAAAGTTGTTTCCCCCCAGTGATGTGTGCAGCAAGTGGAAAACCAAAACCAACTTCAGTTAATCCAAGATTTCCTAATCTCCTGTTTTCTAGAAAAAGCAGAAGCTGCTGCATCTCCTGATTGACAGAAGGCTTCTGCTTTGAGAGACGGTGACCCTTGAAACTTCGGATTCTTCAACTTCTCCACACTGGACAATACCTGAGATTGTGAAGTTCTACTGCGTAACTTTACTTCAGCTGGTGTTTTAGCGAGGCATTCAGGACGCACAAATATCCCATGTTGTGGCTTGCAATGGAAATATTCTCTGCCTTTTATAGTTCCATCATGTTTTCCTTAAAACAAACAAAAGTTAAATTATCACCATGTTATGCTGCAATTTTAGTAAGAATTAGATTGGAAATTTGAACATTTATAATCATCAGAGGAATTAATTTCTAGAACTATGTACCAATATTAATGGAAATATTATCTCCTCTAGATTGACATTCTCCAGCTAAAGAAACTGTTTATGAAGAACTGTTTTGGTAGGTAGTGAATTTATTGCTGAAGATTTCTCTGAGCAAGTTATATAATTCAACTCTACTAGGCAAACATGAGAGAGCCAGTTTGCCATAGTAGTTAAAAGGTGTTGGACTATAAGTAAGGAAACCTGATTTCTAGTCCTCTCTTAGGCACGAAACCAGCTAGTTGATTTTGGGCCAATCAGTCTCTCAACCCTAAGAAAAAGGTATCAGCAAATTATTTCTAAGAAAGTTGACAAGAAAACTGCATGGATCTGCCCATGTAATTACCAGAAATCAAAACTGACTTCTATGAGCATAATTAAGAGATGAGTGTGTTACTGAATACCAAGTTTTCTTCCTCTAGCTCCAATACATGAATTTCATCTGACACAGTTAATTTCCCAAGAATTAAACTGACTCAGTGAAGTTTCATTTTAATGGACTAACTGGGGAGAGGGACTAACTGCTTATTATTCAGAAATATCTGTTAAATTGGATAATACATTATTGAGCTGATTTACATAATTGTGTGATGACATCATACACATGACATCATTTGCATAAAGTCATAATCACTAGTGCTTAATTAAATAATTATACCATTATGCAAATATCACAAATTAAAGTGAGGTTTCCAAGGAGGAAATATAAGAATGGTCGCCCAAGCCCCTACAGAAGGTGCCCAATTGGGAACAGTGTGTTCCTGGGTTAGGCCGCCAGGTTAGAATCTTAGGAGATTCAAAGATTCTCTTAGCCTTCCAAGAGAAAAGTAGAAAGCAAGAGAGAAGGGTTACAATCTGCATCAGACTCCTGACAGCCAACTTTATCGAAAGCAAGATATTCACCAAATTTTCTTTAACAAGATTTATTAAAAGGGAAAGAAGTTAGAAATCCATTTCACGGACTACTCTCATTTTCAGACCCAGTTTATCTTTTTATTGTTTAGGCAGAGACTTCCTCATTTCTTTCTAAGACCTCTTTTCTTAACCAACAAGTTGGCTGCCCATTTCCCAGACAACTGAGAACATGCAGATATCAGTGTTTTCCCAAGTACTTGCCAACAGTAATAGTAACCAAGAAAATTAGATTCTCACAAAGTCTCATTAGCCAGGGTTACTACAAGGAAAAAGGGGGTTACATTACAGAATCTTGGAAACTGGATATTTTCTACTTCAGCTCCCTTTTTATCAGTGAGTGTTCTGGTGAGTCCTCATTTAGGCCTCTGATTCTTTTTCCATCTCTCTTTTGATTTAAGGGGGAGCTGACTAGCTTTTTATGAGATATGAACAGAATTTCCATCTGTTCTTTTTTCTGTAATTTTTTTACAAACATTCATTCTCATTCCTAGGCTCAGAAAGTTCTATTAAATCCTTATCAGCCTGTGAGCTTACTATTTTGTCCAGCTGGATTTGCTGCCTTGCTCCCCCTCCTCCTTTCTCTGCAATCCCCAGAATCAGCCTCCCACAGCAGCTACCCCACTCCCTCCCTCCTCCATCCTGATGAAGTTACCTCTATCTTCCCAATCCTGACATGACTGCTACTTCCATGCCCTCCTCTCAACTGGTTGTAGCTCATGGCAATAGCCTGGCTGTCCATTACCTGAAGGGTCCTGTTGCTGATAACAATGTCTATCTTATACACCTCAGCTGAGCTGGGCAGTGCATGATGCAGTTGGCTATGGAAGCAGCAAGGGGGCACCATCAGCAGAGATGGAGGAGAATGGAATAAGTGGCATCTGAAGCCCAGAGGTGAAGGAGCAATAGTGTCATTTTGACATATTACATAAATAACTCACAGAAGAATTTGGTCTATTGCAAGTGAAGTCCATTGCACTGAGATCAGGTAAAACAAGATTTCACTTTTACTTAGTCCAAACCAAATTCATAAAAACTTACTCTTCAGTGTGATTTGCTAATCAGTGATCATAAATAAGTAGCAGATCTTGAGAAAAAAACTATGTAAGGTCAGGTCTAATAAGTTGATGAAGATTCTCAGTCATCCAGGTGGAATTATCTGGAGGTTGAGTCAGTTGCCATGATTCAACCTCCAGATCAGGTCTAATAAGTGACATGGTTGAGAAATCATCAGGAAATATCAGGATTGGAGCTAGACTGGGTTCAACTGAGAGGTGGGGGCGGGGGCTGGGAAAGAATGCCATGACAAATACAGACATGTCCATGTAGTCTCATCAGGAGCCCAACTAGAGGGAGTCTTTTATTTTTACAGGTAATCCCCAGTTTAAGAACGAGTTCTGTTCCCAAGATCTGTCCTTAAGTCAAATTTGTATGTAAGCCGGAACAGTATTATTATATAATACTGTATAAGTAGTATTGTGTAATTAATTCAAATCATTGTGTATTTAACTCAAATTTTACTACAATAGGCTCCGTTGTTAACTATAGGTCATCTTTAAACTGGGTGTTCTTAACCCGGGGACTACCTATTGTATTTAGTATCTGTGAGAGGCATGATGTACTTTGTGAATGGATGCTTTTTCTCTGAGCATAGTAGAAGCCAATGACAAGGGGGAAAAGGGTATTTCCCAGTCCTCTAACTCTGTTTTGCTAAAGAATATCTTTTGCATATGCAACTAGCCTGATAATATTTTGCATTCAGTATCAGTCAGCATTTTGACATGCTGTCAGGCACTATATTTTATTGCTCAAAAAAATAGCTGACATTTTTGTAGCAATCAGCTATTGTGGCAGCCTGTAACAGTGTTTTATACATTTTGCATTAACTTGATTTATTCAGCAATCTCGAATAATCTTATATATAAAGTGCCATTAATAAAATTTAATATTTGATGTCAGATACATCTAAAATTCATATGATCAATTTTGATTAAAATGGCAAAGTTTGAAAATCATTCACAAATTCATTTCTAAATGAGCAGAATGCACAAATGAATGTTATCTTTTTCTTTAAAAACAGTCTGCAACAAATTATTTCTTAATGGTTAAATAATTTAAGATAATCCATAAAATACAGTGAATGCAGCAAGTTGAAACCAAGTTAAGGTTTGGCCAGCAACTGGTAAGAGGCAAGAGGAGAGACTTGGTGGGAGGCAAGGTGTTCTTGTAATGTGCATGTATATGTGCAATGTATGTGAAGAAAAGCTCAAGATATTTCAGTATTAAACATACATTTCAAAGAAAATGAAACCATGCAGAAGAGACCTATTTCATGATTATAGAAGAGTGGAAGAACCAGAGCCCAGCTTCTTAAGTTTCAACTTTAAGTCTATCCCTCTACACATTAGCTCTCAGTTCCAGTTGAATTCTGTTCCCAAAATCACAGAAAGCAAGACAATAAACCAGGCTAGAAAAAGCAAATGGACTTGAACAGTCTTTTTCCTCAATTATGCCAGAGAAGAGGGAGAGCCAGCTTTAAACCAGTATTATGGAAACTCAACTATTCTCTGCATCTTTTTGCGGGGGGGGGGGGGGG